ACCGAAAAGATAGTAAATAAAATATTAAATCTCTAGGAATAATTAACTACTGAATAAACTCAGAAAAAAATAGGAATTTGTAGAAATTGTCTGGCAAGTAATGGTTCATCACGAACTGTAATACTATAAAGATAATAATATTTACAAGCAATATTGCTTTCTTTTTTGAGACGACAATTAAGTTTTCGGTATTCAAAAAAGTTTTATATTCTTTTTATCTTATATAAGTATATAATCAGATCTTATATAAATCCAATCCAAATCGAAGTAAGTAACTAAAAGAAAAATCATGTACTGTTTATGGCATAATACAGATCGATTGTGTTTGCAAATTCTGAAATCGAAATTAATTTACTATTTATCATTAATACGTTTTGCCTTAATTAGATAAGGACTTATATATACTTATTACATAAAAAATTAATGTCACGTGATTTCGATTTCTCTGAAGTCTAACAAAAGGCAACAAGTCACTTGCTGAACACTCTAATTTATACGCAACACAACAACTCTACACTCTTCCTCTAACAGACTAGTTCTGAAGTCGCTAATCAGACTGCTGATTATGAGATTGTAGAAAAAAAAGTAACCAAGGTGAGAAACGATATATTATAAACCTTCATTAGACATTTTAACAAATATGCCAGCAAGAGACTTTAGCAAGAGACTTGTTGTTCTTTACCGCACTGCTACACAGCCTTAGCAGTTAAGAACTTATTGTTTTGACATAAACTTTCAAATTTGAATTTTTAACAGTATAAATAATAACCATATCTTAATTTATTATTTTACAATTTAATAAATGTTATGAAAAATTTTAACTCAGTTTTGTACTAAAAACAATTACAAACAGAAATGGCAACAAAATAATTCAATAAATAATTTTTTTTAATGTAATTTATATGTTAATTATATAACTTTAAATTAATTTAAGTAATATTATTTTCAATATAAACTCTACAAACAAAATAATATTGAAATTTAACAATTAAAAATAAAACTATAATTAATTAATTCAATTATTCTATACCTGGTTCTAATAGAAGCACTGCAAGTGTATTTGTTAATAAACTTTCACAACAAATTAACAAAAGAACTCAAAGTTCGAACACACAAGTCAAGTACGGCTTTGGGTCATTTGGCTAATTAACACCAACTCTGAGCTTCAAATTTGACAGGGCACAAGTTCATCCCTTGGCACTTGCAGTCTTAAAAAAATTATTTTCGAATATTTAAATATAAGAATTATTCCCAATACCACTAGTGATAGGTATTTAGCAATTCTTGAAGCAGCTTTATGGTCAGTCGAAAATTCAAATAATTAAAATAATATGAAATGAATTTTTGTTGTTGTAGTTCACTACTGTTCGAAAAACCTCTTTAGAGATTATAAATTTTATATTAAAAATTTAAATTAGTAGTTCATTATTTTAATAATAATTTAAATTTAATAATAAATATAGTTATATATTTATAAATATATAATTTGAATATAGTTAAGTATAGTTAACACAATCATATAGTTATAATATGAAGAAATTGAAATATTTTGTAATATTATTATTTTAGTTCTAATAAAAAATAATATAATGTAATAATTTGTTATTATATTTACCGTAAACTGTGTAATATAATCCCTTACACTCGTATAATAAATATCTTATAATATTGTATTTTTCTAGATAATATAAAATTTGCACTTTAATCAAATTTCATTGAATTTTTTTATCAGTCATTCACATAACTTTAACGATATTTTATATATAAAAATGCGGATAATAATTATTTTTTTATTTTATTTCAATTTATATTTTGTACAACTAACCGATTTTAAATTTAAAATATATCTTTTAGGTTGCTTTTTAATTTCTTGCTTAGGTTCATTAAACTTTATTTTGGGTAAAAAATTTTTTTTAAGACTTCACACACAAAAATTCATTAAAAATTTTTATTCAAAGCATTTATGCATCCACTGCACATTCCTACACCCTTATCGCTCCACTTAAACACTAAACAACTTAACGCCGAGCACAACCGTAAGCAACTAAATTCGGTGAATGAAAATAAATTCTATTTAACCGTGGCATTAAAAAACACAAACAACGTTTGTTTAGGAACAATATTGACACTGATTTACAATGAACATAACAATCAGTGACGATCGTTGAGTAGTTATTTTAAGAGAGTTTCAACCGCAAGAGAAAGAGCACTTACACGTGCATATTTTGTAATATTTTAATAATAAAAAAATGACCTACTTTTGAACTGACGAAGAAGAGCAACTAAAAATAATTCATCTTTTCTTCCACGCAATATTTATTTTCTAATCAAGTGCAGTAAACTGTAATTTATTTATTTATTTATTTTTAATTTTATTTCACTTTATTTTTCTTTTTGCTTTACGATTTACTCTCAGTGCTTGGCAATGTTGTGATTGGTTGCTTCTTTAAAAAATTGGGGGTCAATAACACACTCAACAGAAATAATTAGTAAATAAATGTCTAATATATAGTGGAATAAGCAAGGTTAAAATGAATATTGCATTAAATAAAATATAGTGTGTAGTAATTAATTTATGTGACAAATATAAAAAATGTAAAATATAATAACCAAAAGTATTATTATATAAATTATTATTAATATAATAACACATACAAGTATCTCAGCATCTTTGGAGAGTTTATCAAGTAGGTAAAAACTGTACAATGAAAAATTGCGCTTCTTTGAATAAATGAAACGCACCCGACATCTAGAGAGGCAGTATTTCAGAAAGTAGCTCTCTCTCTCACTCTGTCACTCTCTTTGTATTTTCCCTACACATTTCCATACAATTTATTTCTAATTCATTTCTTTTGTTGTTAATTTTAAATTTTTATGTAAGATTTGTTTGTTAAGATTTAAGATACAAAGTTGCTGCTCAAAGGTCTTCATTTCGAAAACAACTTTTCAAAACATGTGCCAAGACAGTCGTCAGCAATACACATTTCTAGAGTCACGGGATTATACTCAGGTAAACAGTTTCCGTAATAATTCGTTTAACAATTATTGTCTATTTTTTATTCATTATCTACATTATCTGTTATTTACAACAGTTTAGTAAGTACTAAATAATATAAAAAAAAATTATTAAAATTTCAAACGTCACAATTGCTTTTCCTGCCTAGATTTGTAAATATTCTTTAACTTAAAAATATATTTCATAACTTTGTTAACGTAAATAACATATTACTAATAATATTATTAATCAATAATAATATTTATACAACAAAATATATTGATTGATGTTTACAAAAACAAACTATATATTAAAAATGAATTTATTTTTAATTAATATACTTTAATAAAAGAGTTCTAAGCCTGGCACTTGCAGACCAAACAAATTATGTATGGACTATAAACTAATTAAGAAATTCAAATATTTCCTAAGACCACTGATGATGAGTACTTGGCCATACTCAAAGCAGCGTTGTATGATCAGCTAAATTTTAATAAATTAAATAAAATTTTTGTCTTTATCTTTTTCTTTGCTATTCGAATCCGTCTAACTTTTAAATAATTTCTTACCACATCACTCTCGGCAAGAAAAAATTAACATTAAATAAACTTTTTATTTAGAAGTAGTTAACGTTTCAATTTTTTAATATCTCAAAAACTATTATCTACTATAGGTAGAAGTATGAAATTTGGAATACAAAATACTTGCATTACATATATCACGGAAGTTGCGAAAGTTTCATGATACTCTACTCACACTAACATTCAACATCAAATAAAATTTTGCCAAAAATTTTTTTTTTATTTCAAAAATATTTTTCACTTCTATTAGATTACGTATAATCATTGTATACAAATATATAGTTTGAAGCAAAAAGTGAGAATGGAATTTTTTTCGCAATAATCAAGCCAAATTCAGACCCACTTAAATTTTTACAACTGATCGAAAGGTAATTTTTTAACGTTTTTTAAACCAAAAGAGTAGTTATTAATTATGTATAAAAATATTTTTAAATTTGAATAAACAGTAACATTTAATAAGTGTAAATGTTTAAATAATTAGTCATTTCTATATGGACTTTTTCAATTCTATTTGTATTACCCAAAAATTAAAGGTTTACAAGAAATAGAAAATCGTTTGTCACACTCTCTTTCTTACACCTATATCGGGTGTCAGCAGCCCCATAAAAATTATGCAATATATGACATCAATACACCTCATTTGTATCAACAAAAAAGGCAATAAGTAATAATATGAACCAATATTATTTTATAAATATTTAATTTATTTATATATTTCAAATTTCAAGTAAATCGGTTAAAAAACAACCAAGTTATCATACACTATTCAGTGGCACGGCTTGCAACATGCCCAAAGCCTACTTGCCGAAATATTGCGAAATTGAACTAAGATCAATGTATACCCTAAAGGCTTAAGGAATATTGCACACGCTCAAAATCTCTCTGGTTGTATGACTAGAAAGAGCGTGCAACTGACGTAACCTAACGAATAAAAATTTCCAATTAAATTAAATCCACAATAAACAATAATAATTGTTTATTGTGGAAAAATTAATCCAATAATAACAGATGACTCCCAATATAAGTTCTACATATCAATAATATTTTTGAATTAATGTGACATTTTAAAAACAGAATGATAAAAAATCTGATAGTGTTGAAAATCCAAATGTTTTTAAGTTGCATTGCGAATATATTGAATGGACAACTAATTATCTTAAGTAAACGGTCAAGTTAACTTAATTGATAGCAGTTGGAATTTAAAGACTTACATGATAACTAATATTTGCAATGAGTGAGAAACAGAAAATATAAATCCATTATTCTATTTATGTATACTAAACTAGGAAGAAAGCTTTTGTTTATAACACATTTGGAG